ATCCAGGGCCTAACTTACCATAAAGGCTAAACGGCCTCGTGACGGGGCGCAAGATCATAGAGCGGCAAAAAATGGTCGGCCTTCGTCCGCTTACAAAAGTTTTTTTATTAGTTTATCACAATAGAATTATACTTACTCTAATTTAAGTATCTGCTCAATAGATCGATCGTCCCAAGTACAAGAGTGATAAAAGAAAATATTGTACTCCATGCAAATTTTCCATTGGCTACACATATTTTGTTTAGACAAACAACAATTTGTGCAAAACCATAACACATACGTACGTATCATCACGCTTGTCTCTTTGTACCTTTTTTATATCAAATGACGGTACTAACAAGTCGTGTGTCTGGTGGTAAACGATAGTGCCTCTCAGAGCTTTAAATCGCAAAGATCTGATCGACACTGCCATTGCGCCCGTCACCTTGAGGCATACGTTGTTAGGTCTCTTATGTGCAGGCACAGGTGTTCCGGTTTTTCCGGAACGCTGGGGACAGCAATAGGTCAGTTGGTAGAACTTCCCTCATCGAGTATTTCTGGTTATATACTCGATGACTTCCCTAGACGATCTGTTTCACAGAGAGGCCTACTGGTACACCTACCGAGGTAGGTAGACACCGTGGACCGCCACTTGCTATGGCCCAGACAAACCTTCTTCGCCTCCTCCACTCCCATCAGTCTCTTCATACACGCCCTCGTAAAACATAATCACCACCTGAAAAATATAATAATCTTTCGCTTAGGGCGGCATTATAAACTTAAATTAGGGCCCTGGTACACTCCATGCTGATAACAATCGGGTCAAGGTTTCCGATCCGTGGTATAGAAATGTAGAAAAAAGAAAACAATGCCGTTCCACTAATCATTTCAACTTTTATGCCTTTTGCCGGGTAACTGCAGCCCATTTTTATCACGCGAAGTTGTAACTTTTTTATTGTGGTATCTTGACTTTCGTTGTTTGTGTTTTAACAACCTTTGGTTATTTTGTTTTATTAATTTCATAGATCACTGCTATCACTGTGTCCTCTAAGTTCAATTTCATGTACACACCTGTGACTCATAATCGACAAAACTGATTCGTAGACGTAAAGAGTAGTATTTTAAATTTCAATCTGTTATAAAAAAGTGTAACGAAACTAATACGAGTACATAGAAGCTGACATAAATATACTTTATACCTTTTTTTAGTCATTTAATAAGTGTGTAAAGCGGTGCAAGCACATTCGTTCGAAAGTTAAAACAACCTGTACCTAGCTTAGAGGATGGAAAAAAATAAAAGAAAGGAGCTGCCCTAAGTACAGAATCAACGTGCATATTACCAAAATTTGAAAGTTACAAATGGCGGATTTCTTTAGTGTTGTACCATAATCTATCGATAAGTCATTATCGACATGCAAATGTATGGCTTGAATTTTTGTTTCTTTAGTTTACTGTAACCAAAGTATGCCTAAACAAACACAAGTCTGATAATTTAATCTCGAGTGGTATATTATTATAAATGTCAACACACATTTTTAAACTTCAAAAAAAAATTATTTTCAACATTACAACTGCTGTGCAGTTTGTTGGCGACATGCGCATTCTTGCTTAATTATACCTACTTTACTTGTATTTAACATTACGTAGTATTAATTGTACTTACTAAATAAAATATAAAAATTACTTTAAGAGGTACGCCTTTAACCTACATTTTAGTACATATTTACATAACGTCTTTTAACTAACCGTCAAGTACAAGTCTATTCAGGTTTCTGCGGATTCTAGTATTCCCGTTAATTCCCGGGCTTCTTAAGCAAATGAATCAATCAAGCAATTTTAACACAGAAATAATGGAAGTAGTTGTAAAAATCAATTATCGGAAATCAACAATTATCATGTACTAGCTTTTCCCCACGACTTCATCCGCGTACAATTTTTATACAAATGAAAAATATTCAAGTATGAACCAAATCGCACCACGTGTTAAAAAGTTACCATACAAACTTTATTACCCCATTTCCCCGCATTTTTTAAAAACTTTTGGTATGTTGTCATTGTATTGCAGGCTTTAAAAAAATAGTCATTTTTAATAGTTAGAGTTGTCATTGGGAAAAATCAGAAACGAGTGGATAATTTTGTTTTCAGGAACTGAGAATAGCTAGTAAATGAGTCTTGTTTAATCTAAATTGAACATAAAATTATTTACCAATAAACCTAATGATGGAATAGCATTGTCATGTAATCTAGTTACATTTAAAGTTCTGTTAAAATTTGACTCTTCATAATGAAGCGAACAAATGAAGATGATCTTTGATCCAACGTTTATATTCGGCAGTCCTATGATTTCCAACCATTCTTTCTTCCTTTTTTCATTTGTAGGAAAACTTGAAATAATAATAATAAAACAATAAAAACCTCATAGTGAATTGTTTTAATAACAGAATATCGATAATATGTATGCTTACAAGATCAACACTATCTCAAAATAATCGTTAACAACAATCATCAAAATATACAAACAAACAGGCAATCTAAAGTAACAAAAGCAAAATTTGGCAAGATTTATAAATAAACTACTTAAATAAGTCTAATTACATAAAATACTCGGGCTATTGTGTGATTTATAGACAAAAAAATAACACATGCCTGTGCAATGTAACATTCGATTGATTTGCAGTTTTTCTAAAGCCGCATCCTTTAATGCTGCAGCGTCGCATTTTTATTAATACCTAATTATTCTCACTGTCAATATTTTTGTCCAATTTAATTATAATACATGTGAATAATTCAATAATACATTTGGAAAAACATTAGTTTTGACATTTGATATACTTCCCTTTGACAATTGACAACGGTATCATGTACCTCATGTACTTGAAATGGCCACGGTTGGCATTTAAAATGACGTCACGAATTTTCGATTCCCGTGTTTGACACAGACCAATGTAATGCTATCTCTTTTGGCTTAAGACGGCACGTAATAGTTAAACAAAGACAATAATATGTTTATGTTTTCGACGTCGAAATGCATCATATACATATAACGTCTGATTTATATATGTCAACGTAACATGTCCTTTAGTTTCCATAGTCTAAGGTACCTAGCGACCACGAAAGATAAACAAAATGTTTTTTTTTTCTTTTTGTGACGGCTAAGGCCACAGTATAATTTCCCATGGTCTTCTTTTTAGAATTCTTACAAATAATGTCTCCCAAAAACACAACAATTTAAGCTTGATAATAAAATATACTAAACTAATATTTTAAATTCAATATAAAGGTATGTTTTTGAGACATGAATACACGCACGTGTCTCATTTCACGTGATTTTGCTCGCTTAAATTGATCCCCGAATCGCATGCGAAGCCTTACTATTGCGAATTACTACGAAACCTACGCCGCATCGGGGATAAACAATTATTATTTACATTTCATATTTTGCTTTCCAGACATTCATTTCTTAAATTTTATCAAAAATCCTGAAATTATTGTATAAAATAAACGTTCTTACCCAACTGTCCGAAAAAATAAACAAATGTAATTTGGTCCCTTTCAAGGCATTATTATGAAAGTAAATAGGCATTATTTTCGAGTGAATGTTCCATCATCAACGTCATCGTCTTTTTCCATCGAGTGAGGTTAAATGGGCACTTATATTTATTATAAAAATGTTTTTGAAACTTAATAGAAAACCCCCGATACAAAACAACGTATCTACTCCAAAAAGTCAATAAAGTCAACATCTCCAACTCGTGGAAACTAATTGAATGAGCTAGTGTGGTTGCGAAAACGGGCAGTCTATAAACTGTCCCGGTTCAATATCAGATCAAAGTTACCATACCACATTATTATAATGTCATCGGATTTCCCTAGTATACCAAATGCCATGTCGATCGGACAAGTGACAAATAAATGTAAATTTTTTGAACGACTGAACCAATGTGCAACAAACGTAGCGTAGAACCATTCCGATTAAATTAGTCTTCATATATCACACACACACGCACGCATGCACTCACACACGCACACATGCACACATGCACGCACACACGCACACACGCACACACGCACGCTCGCATGCACTCACGCACGTTCACACTCAGTCTTCATTTCAAATTTTGTATGACCGACATCCATTACTTTAGCTATATCGTCGGGGATAGTGCAAATCCGCGTATGTAGTATTGGTAAAAAGTGTGTATCTGCACTAAATCAAATTTTACAGGGGAGATACTTTCATTTTTGTACTGTAAGCATTAATTCATGTTGTCTACCGACAGATAACAATAGATTACCTTAAATCAGGTCAGTTTGGTTGTAACGACATTTACGGGGGTTTGATTTGGCCACAAAATTACCAAACTGGACACTCATAATCAAATGCTAGTTACGCGTAATTGCACTATCCACGACGATATATGTAAAATGTTATTACTTTATAGACCTGGCGACATGAAATACGGGATCAACCTAATTCAGGCCAAACCAATTTCTGCAAAGATTGTTACCTATAACATATATCAAATAATGTATGTATATAGTGTAAACTTTGTGAGAAAATACCTTATTAATAATATTTTATACTGTATTAATATATATAATTAATAATTATTTTTATATAAAAAACGCTTTAAAATTAGTCCTGCCGTTTGGGACCTACGATGCCACAGATGATCAAAAAAGTGTTTTTTGCGTCGAGGATTACAAAACCGACAACCGTTTTAGTAACCCATCTAAAAGAATAATATTATACGTTTGTAAACTTTAATAGAAGTCGTGCATCCATTTCACAATTATTTTTCTGATTTACAATTTTTATTTTGCATCACTTATTTTTTACAATGTTCTGAGTGAAATAATAGACGACGTCTAGACGGTCTACGAGTCTAACAACGCGACTAATATATTCTTTTATTGCAATGGCGAACTCAATTATATATATAAATTACCCTCATTCACATCCTTTCACATCGATTGAAAGTTATTACCATTAACTTACTAGATTTATTTTGTCTTCACAGATCGAACATCCGGGCTCTAGAAAAGGCGGAGGAACATTTTTAGTGCCGATGAATGGCGGTATTTGGACCATGTGCGTGTCTCTAAAAGGTATTTTCCTTTTCAAAGCTAAACCTCCTTCATAAGTATCGCGAACATGTTTTAAAGCCTTTTACTTTTTTGCATCCTCTAAGTTTAAAGCTGGTTATGCCATAATCGTCACGCTTCAGATTGCAATGGAGATCATAGAGAATACTACAAAATAATATTGACTATAAAATAGAATACTTATTTATTTGAGATTTTTTGTGAAATAACTCAACTACTTTTGTTATGATTACGAATGCAAATCGAACACACAGAAAAATTTCGTCGACCCGGTGGAACTTGAACAGAAGTCCATGCTGCACCGTAGCATTACTCTTACCAACTGAGCCACGGGTCCAGTTACCGAGACGGCGAAATTCTCTGTTTTTCTTATAGATTTTTGTGCTGGTTTTCTACATTCGTCGCCACAAGTGGCATCTAGTGAGTGATTTTTTTAATAACCTCACAGCAGCCAATACCTTCACAGGTCACAACTGACACAGATGTCGATTTTCGATCAAATATATTTATTGAGATTTTTTGGGAAATACCTCTACTAGTTTTGTTATAATTATGAACTGGACGCGTGGCTCAGTTGGTAAGAGCAATGCTACGGTGCAGCATGGACGTATGTTCCAGTCCCACCGGGTCGACGAAATGTTTCTGTGCGTTCGATCTTTGTATCCATAATCATACAATACCTACTTATTTTATTGAATCTTTCTAAAATAATATACAATAATAATCTTCTTAAAAATTTTTGCTGCTGACTCGGTCTGTAGCTCAGTTATTTAAGCGCGCATGGCAACAAACACTGATGTTAGTCCAGTCAGAATCAGGAATTTCATTTTCTGTTCATTCTTTCTATTAGTAATAAAATAATAGATGATAAATATTTGGCAGAACAATGTGAACTGTATTAATCTTGATCGAAAATCGTTGGTCTGTTGCGGTCCACGTAAATTACAACACGTCCGAACAGACATTACCTTGGTGAACGTTTTGTTGCTTTTTCTTATAATCAACATTTGTCATGCATTTTCAGAGGAAGAAGTATCCATATTATCCCGAGCGGGATTTCCCACCCAGCCGCTGTGCACAAACTACCTCGCAAACACCGATGACGACGACGACGAACCCCGGGCTGATTGGCAACATCGTAAGTCACCTTTAGTCATTTAAAATTCTCATTAAAACCAGACTGGCTTCTAAGTAGAGGCCAATGTCCTCTTAGAGTCGGTAAGCTAAGGTAATCAGTTAATGTCTTGATACGCCTTGGTGTCACTTATTTTAAACATGTATTTGAAACTAGAATTAATAAGTAAGTCGGCGAATGTGCTCCATACAAAGTTTAATACAATTTTGGATATTAAATATTAAAAACCATTCAGAGGACTTCATCTAGAAACTAATGCGAAGTTTCTCGTTAGTTTCGCGACAAATTATTTAGTTTCAAAATAACGGGGGCTTTAAAAAATGTAAATATCCATAGCCACACAATAAAATAAAATAATAAAGCCACAAATATCGAGACTTTGCCGAATGGCTAAGTATTAAGTACTTACTCGTATTTATTAAAATACGAGTATTTTAAGACCTAATTATGTACCTAATTATTGCATACAACTTTTTCTACGAGTAAATTATAATAATAAAACCAATGTTCAAAGATTATTTTGTTAACAATCCCCCACAAAACAAAAAACCAAAACAAACACTACAAAACAAAAACCAAGGAGTATAGAAGAGTCCGTGACTGGCCAAATACCGCTTACCAGGAGGCAGTAGAGCATTTGAGTAGCGTCTTATTTGATATTTTATTTTGTTTTTACGTAGTTATTTTTAGCAAAATGGTTACACCTTTGTAGCTGTTATGTAACATTTTGTGATGTTATTTAACAAAATAATTTTAATTTTAGTAAATTCTCAAATATAGTGACGTTATTCCGTTCAGGGACACAGTGACGCGTTGACGGACTCTTTAAATAAGCAAAAATACAACGTTCTTTTTTTGAAACTCATAGTTCTATGCACAGAACTATTATGAAATTTTTCAGTTCAGTAGCGAGTACCATAGACAATAGAATTTTAGTTCAGAACTAAAAAGAGCGCCTTTGTGACAGTGATAGTTATTAAAATACGAAATATAATGAAATAATTCTGTGTATGTGAAATTTTATAACTCTCCTATTTTAGCTTAAAAAAATTATCCACCAATTACGTTTGTAGAATCTTTAAACCTCTCTCCTGAAACGTGTAATTTTGCAGATGTGGCCTCATTCATTATACAAGTACATAGATATCGTTGCATTACACAGAGTTTGCGATTTATCTTACCACAAAACCTCTGAAGTCCAACCTATATCACAGTGGAGTCCCTTGTCTCACGCTAGGTGCACTGCTTTATTAAACCTCCCGTTACGCAACGTAAAACATGCGATTTCATGATTTGAGATTCCTTTAATGCAAGGCCAGTGAGTCAAAGTCAAAGTCAAAAATTATTTATTCCATAGGTAAAATAAATTTACACTTGAAAACGTCACATTTAAGCTACTGCTCGTTCACTACGCTGACCTCCCTGAGAAGAACGAGCAAGAAACTCTAGGTATTGCTCTTTTCAAATAAACTTAAATGCTATGGAATACACTTTGAATCAAATTTGTGTGGATTCTGGAGCCATGTCGTCTTTCCATACATCTTTATCTAACACGTAGTCTTCAATTTTGTAATATGATTTTTCGATCAAAATATTTTTAATGTAGTTTTTAAACTTAGGAAATGATAAACTTAATATATGCTCCGGAATCTTATAGTAAAAACGTATACAGTTTCCCATAAAAGAGTTGTTTACCTTGGTTAAACGAAATCGTGGTACCATGAGTTTGACTTAGCTCTAAGGTTAATGTTATGGATATCTTCTTTCTTATTGAAATTATGTATATTTTTACGGGCATATAAAATATTTGAGTAAATGTACTGTGATGCCACAGTCATGATACCAGTCTCCTTAAACTTTTCTCTTGAGAGATACCTGAGAGCCTAGACGGTACACAGACTTTTCACCTTTCCAAATTTTCGTTCTAGCAGTACGAGAATTATAGTTTTCATTTCATAGTTGTTTTGACTTTCGTCCATATAATGCGTAATGATATCTAAAGTTTTATGTTTAACCGAAATAGAAGTGATTGTAACTCAGCGACGAACGGTTGGTTGCTTCTTAGTTGAATAAAATTCGAATTTATGTAAATATTTTAGTAGATATTTCTAGAAAGGAAAACAAAGAAACCTGCACGTGGACGTATGTGGCTTCTTTATATGATACTAAGTAACGAACAAATCGTGCGCCTGATGGTAAGGGACACGTCGGTCCATCCATCCATCGCACAGATCTGAGGGGCACTGCCACTGCGCCCGTTACCCTGAGGCATAAGTTGGCAAGTCCCATGTGGTTGTAATTTTACCAGCACCCTTACCCTTCAAAACCGGAACACAGTAATGCTCACATTGGAGCTTAGCGACAGTAATGGATAAGGTGGCTGTACTTCCCTGGACGAACTCTTTCGCAAGGAGCTCTACAGCTACTGAAATCTACTATGGGCCTAAATACTCTTCTTATGGAAGACCCGAGCGGAAATATTTATCATAAAAGGTATTTAATAAAGCCATATTGAATATTCTTAACATAATCGTACTTTTCAAAATCATGTACCACGATGTCGGACTAGCCTAGTTTTGCACAGTCCACTACCTAGATTACTCCTACTTATAACCGAATTAACGTTCGAATTGATATAGACATTTTTCATTCTTCCCGTAATGTTTTCTAAAATAACATTCTCGAATCCTTTCCCCGGTAATTTCATAAGTTCTTTGTTGTTATTTTTGTTGCTTATTATTATTTTATTAGGCATTTCTCCATAGCCGCAATTGTCTGTGTCCATGCACTAAAATTAACTTATTTATCGAAACAAAAATCTACAAAAAAAAAGAGAGTACAATATAGGTCGAAAGCTAACTGGAGAGCACAAAATCTTCCCAATAAATATTTCGGACGTAATGGAAAAAAAAAATAGAAGCTTCACAATTCGTTCGTATTATTCGTCCATCATGCCCCTGCTGCTGGAGGGAACAGGTGAATGATTTGTTGCCGATTTTAAGACTTCTTGCGTGTAAATAAGTAATTCGGTGGATGTGGTCCAGGTTGATTTTTGAATTCGGTGTATACGATATTTCCAAAACTAAATTTTATGGTTGTATGCAATATTTTTTATACTATGTGTTGTAACGAATATAATAACAACTTATTGGTTTTACAAGTGTTGTCGTTTACGAGTAATATCAAAATATATATATATATATTTTCTAAATCCCGTGGCCTTGGATTCGGTGGATTTTGTGCCACCGAATTTAGAAAAGCTTCCACTGACGTCGAAAAAACCTGCCATTGAAGCCATATTTTCTTTGAAAAACAAGAATTTTATACGTTTGTTCATATAAATGTTTACTGAATATTATTGATTTTCACAATTTTATATTACAACTTGCTTCTCACTGAAAATTAATAAAGAAAATCAAAACAAAGCAAAAATTGGAAATCAAGAAGATGAAGGAACGTACTATGAAAGCAAAGATAAAAAGCGATCCGATTATATATGAAACGTTTAAAGAAAAAGATAGACAGGAGATACCTCCTGTCTATCTTTTAAGAAAGAAAAAGAGAAAAGAAAGATTTTGAAAGTGCATTAATTGCCTCGTCATGTTAAAAGTGTAATGAAAGACATTCTATATCGCATATATCGCGCAAGTTTCCAAAAATGTATAGCTTATGTAGCTCTGTAGCTACGTTCCAAATTTTTTTTAAAAGGAGATACGGTAATACTTTGTGTTATTGAAAAAAAGGCAAAACAGCCAAACTGAAAACTGATTTCAATTAAGTCATACGATGACATTTATTTGCGTTGTTCTGTTCGATTTATAAATAAATTTTGTTTAAATTTATGTAAGTTTGAGTTCTTTTTCCTGCCCGCTCAAGGATTTTCCTGAAATTAAAAAAAAATTCGACCACCGAAGTCAGATAATTTAGCCCTTCTAGGACAAATGCTCTATTACTTTAAATGCTGTGTAATCTGTAATAGGTAGACACATAAGTACAATACTAATGTAAAGTTACACTGTTATTTAAGAGTATATTTACTACTGTTGATGTACCTTATCTATAAAATAAAATAAAACATTTCATAACCGATGCATATGAAATACGCCGTTTAAAGCATGAGATATTCGTTTTAGTCTGCTGTGTGCAGAAATGTATGTCTCAGTATTCATGTGTTAAAAGGACCACCTGCACAAGGTCATAAAGCTTCATTTAGTACCCTTGGTTTAAAAAAGCCACAAGTGATCTTACGTCAAAATTATATATCAGTGTGTAGAAAATTAAACGAATTTTAAATTATTTTTTTATTTAAAAATAGTTTTTCTGATTGTCTTGAAAACCAGCCAAATATCCCTTATGTCAATTGACATTTAAGCTATAGATGCATTGACTTACAAATAATCGATGTGAAATTTTATATCTCTCTTAGTTAAACAGAAAACGTTTTCGTTCGTACAATCTTTAAACCTTTCTCCTGTAAAGTTTATTTTTAGTTTATTTTCTAGATGACGAAAGACATTGAATAATCTCAGTACAAAGTACTAAAAAAACGAACCTTAAAAGTTCGTGAAGTTACATCTTTTTGCCAAGTTTTATTGAAATCGGTGCTTACCTTAAAGTGCGCGAAACAGGATTCATCCCCTAGTGTGCCACCCTTAGAGATGGAATATTTTCTGCAAATTTAAATGGGACCAATACTGAGGTATCCTCTTTCCAACAAAAAAATAATCATCAAAATCGGTTCACAAATTATCACGTATCAATCGTAACATACATAAAAAAAACACAGACGAATTGAGAACCTCCTTCTTTTTTAAGTCGGTTAAAAAGAGATTCACAAAAGTCAAATCAGAATCAGCTACATTTATTTAATAAACACTTTAAGAAATGCTTATAATTTAGAGTTTAATACAGTCGGTGTATAAAGTTTTCGAGGTACGATATGCAGTAAAAAGTGGTATTGTTATCGATTTTGTAGAGTAACAGCTTTGCGCCCCGCATTATGA